ATGACTAAGAATCTATAGTCAGACGAAAATAGGGCCAGGCAAGTAATAAGCAAGATTAGGCATGCATACACATGAATAATAAAAGCAACGCAGATATGATCGGAATGACTGACAAGATCAAAACGCAAGTGTAACGAGCACTGTCAGCTAGATATGCAAGTACTCACTACACTACTAGGATTACAATTCTATTTAATACGAAATAAAAATAACTACCGAATTTACTCACTCATATGAAACTTGTGAAACATAGGCATTAAGATAAACGTCCTCCAAAAGTAGAGATAATTCTCGCCGTCCGGCCGACCTCAAGACAAATAATTGACACAGACTATAAGATAGAGAAAACAAGTTTTAATGTAAAGGCATTGTCAAGGATGGATTCTTAGATTTATTCATGACTTGGCTGTTAAGGAACTCAACTTTGATCAGTTTACAAAGTTACCTGAATTTCTTCAATTGAAGAACATCTGGAACTCGTAGCAACTATCATTAAACAACATCAAAGTCAGAATTTTCAGTACAAATGTCAAGACAGTTCAACTGAATGCGTCGGAAACTTGAAGAACTACGAAAGCAATCATCCAGAAGATACAACTGTTTATTTAATAACCGTTGTCTCTCAAAATACTTCGGATTCGTTAGCCAGATACTATCAGCAACAACCTACTGTGGGAGACAACACATCAGATTCCAGAAGATGAAGTAATCAGGAAGAACCGCTGGAAGTGGATAAGACACTGATTGATGAAGTCACCCAACTGTGTCAAAAGACAAACCCTCACTTGAAATCCTCAAGTCCAAAGATACGCAGAGAATTAGAGACAGACATGAGAAGAATGAACAAAAAATTAGACAGGAAAGGTTGAACAATCCTGGTCGGCGACCTATAAACGTGATTAGAGGTAACAGGAGTAAGTAATTCTACTACTACTAAGAAACTTCATATAATTTCTATTTATCACTCTGTCTTTATAGGACTTTCATTGAATTGATTGTTAATCTGTTTTCTATGAATGTGACCAGATTGTTCGGAATATATATATATATATATATATATATATATATATATATATATATATATGCATGCTTAAGGCCTATCATTTTCAAATCAATACTATCTGTTTATAAAAGGCATTCATTTTATATCAAATTAATGACAGCACGATAGTAGATTTTATATATTCAATATTAAAGAATTAAGAAGGTAAAAGCGTTTGTTCACATTTATACACGAAATTTAATTTTCATTTGTGATATAAAAAAACAAAACAACAATTACTTACTAACAAATTATTAAAATAAAATCATACCTTAGATATAATGTAATGATATACCTAAAGTTCTAACTTACACATTTGAAGATCTCAGCATTCTTCTCACACGATTTAGAAAACTTGTAATTTGCTTTTCTTCAAGCACGTAATAAATAATGAATCAATCAATCAATGTTAGTTCACCATTAGAAACGTCGAAGCACTCACTGGACTGCCGTTTCGTCCTGATGTGGGTGGGACTCATCAAATGTGTAATTTAACAATTTTCACAACCCCATAATGCAATTACATGTGTTCACTAGTGACTAGCTTCGTGAGGAATATTCTCCGAGTTCTAGTGGGAAGTCGTGACCGGTGTAGACAGTAACTACCGAAGAGTGTATGAGGTTGTGCAGGACCGCGTGAATTGATCTTAGTTAGACATTAACATCGTTAGATATCGGATTAGGCGTTCGCGCGCAAGACCGAAGGTGCTGGGTTTGAATCCTGCGAGAAGCAGGAGTTATGGATGCGCACTACTGATGAGTCACATACCAGGACGAAACGCCCGTCCAATGAATGCTTCGAGGTTTCTAATGGTGGTCTATCATTGTTCGATTCACGATTTCAAATTATCTAACTGATGAGCTCTTTCAAACAAGCTTTATTTGATAGCACTTCACTTCGAAATCAATGTATACTACTTTACGTATCTTCTGCAGTCAATTCGGATCCTACACTCCTTCTCACATATTAGTGAGCTGAAAGGTTGGTTAATAATCAATCTAGTAAATTGCGCATAAATTTACAGATCTGTAATTATTTTTGAACAAATGTCAAGTGTTGGTTATTTCTTACTGTTAAACCAAAATTAGCATTGCGATCTTTGTACGGTAATAGCGCTTGACAGTGTACACAATTTGATTCTTTATTCATCTAGTGTCTGCAACCTCAATCTAAGATGATGATTGTAACGAATGAGAAGACACAAGTGCAAACCGGAGAAAACTTGTCTTACTATATTTATTTTGTTTGAACAGATAAACAACGTATAGCAGACAAACGAGATACTCGTTCACCCGGTTGTTCGTATGACAAAGCATTTGTTTGCGGTTTATTGGACGTAAAAAAGACACAGCAAGCAAATCCCATACAGTTCTACTTTACGATAACAAGGCCAAGATTAAAGAAGGATATTCGATTACAGGTAGCCAGCCACGAAACATTGCTCGTATTTCCTTGTACGATCATCGAGTAAGCAATGGTTGTGTTAGGAAACGTATACTACTAGCCTACTTACTTGGTTGAGGTTCACTAGAGACGACAGAAAACAATGATTGGTTAAAGAACTCAGATGACACAACTCCAAATCGTTTGCAATAGTGAAGATGTATCCGCTATTTGTCTTCTCAAGTTCTCATCTTCTGAATTTATCGCCTTTATCTTTCACTTTTTTTTAATTTACTTCATCGGAGGATTTTATACTTTTTGAATAAAATTTCTTTGAAACCCTAATCTTTTCCATTACAATTCTACTACATCTACCACCACTAAGGGATTTTTAAATTGACAATTACATCTCCGTATGCTAATGTGCTATGCCAAATTGAACTGATGTACATACGTACGTATCAATTTCTACGTTGCAGCTCAGTCACTCACTTCAGAGTACTACTTCCTGTCTATGCGATAACAGCGATCAATCATTGGGAGACTATGCCGCATGGCTCAGAATTTTAACTAATAACACTGCAGATATATCTCCCGACCGTAGCTGCTACCTTGACGTGTTGGTCGGGCTTGCCTATCGTGATGACCCAACCGAGCTATACTGGCTGCAACATATGTTCCTGCAGGTCCTACCATACCAGGCTGGTCGATTGGAGAACGATGAGACTAAAAGCAGCTACTCAAGGTCTGAGGGCGAAGTCCTACTGCTGACTGACTGTAGAGGGGTATAACGGCAGTAAGGTGTTTCCCTCAGACAACCAGCATCTTCAACGACGCTGCCTTCTCACAAGGAAGGAAGGGGTTAGAAAAGGTCGACCCTAAAAATGTCACACCTCACTCTACCTCACGGATTTCCGTCTCCGGCGGTAAGGGTGTCCACTAAAGGCCTTTAAGAACGGAGCTAACACTCACAAAACCTTTCATCAAAAGGCCGTGCGTGACCGGACTCAAGCAGTTGTCCCTTGGACTCTGCGGTCACGCTCCCAAGACCAACACTAATCTATCTTCCTTTTCACGACCCTCAAGAAACAACCTTCCACGGTGTGGGCAGCCTTGGAAGTGATAACCGCCATCATACCCGTAACAGCACACGAGACCAATCTGGTCAAAATCAAATCTGACAGATATTTCTGTCTCCGGCATTCTGGTGATATTCGCTTTTATACATAACATAAACAAACAACACGTACACCATTTTTTCCAACCACCATGAAAGAACAGAACAAAACAAAACACACAATTTACAGGTAGTCGTTATTATCATTGAAAATCCTGTAAACATAAAGTTGTTACACATGGGTATTGTTGAGAACCCAGTAACTAAGATTAATTGTAATAATAATTGTAATAATAATAACAATAATAATAATAATAATGATACAATAGAATAATAAGAAAAGTAAATAAAAAATAACAAACAACTGAATACACTAATTAATAATGTGTATGTGTCCAGAAAGTGAGTAGTAATAAACACACACATACGCACACAAACACACACATACACACACACAATGTCATACATAATAACAAATAACATTCATAATAATAATAATAATAATAATCATTGCATATTCCCCACCTAATTAATCATTGATGCACAACACCACACCACACATAAGAGGAACAGGAAGAGGAAGAGAAAGTATTAAAACTGTTGTACGGAAGGTACGCAGTGGGGGGTGGGGGTGGGGTGGGAGAGATTGGTTGGTTGGTTGGTATTGGCGAGCATTAAAATTTAGTAGAATCGCAATTACTATTAATATTAGTATTATTATTATTATTATTATTACCATTACAATTATGATTACATGTTTGATTACCACCTGTGTATGTGTATGTGTGTGTGTGCAGTGTGTATGTGTATGTATGTATATATCAGATGTGTGTAGAATCACAATTTCACGAAGAAAAAAAATGATAATAATAATAATAATAGAATGTAAATGAATGAATGAATGAATGAATGAACGAACGAACGAATAAAATATAACAAATGCGACGATATACGAGAGAGAGAGAGTGAGAGAGAGACAGACAGACAACGGATTAGCGTGAATTGATTGGACAAATACAATTAATTATCAAGATATATATATATATATATATATATATATATATACGTATATATGGATATATATATATATAATATATTCACAAAACAATTCATGATAAACATTTTTTTTATTTTGCAGCAAAGACCATCATCATCAACATCAACATCATCATCATCATCGGTGTGGATAAGACAAAAATCAAAAAATCAAAGGCATTTTGAATAAAGATATATATATATATATATATATGAAAAAATAGAAAGAAGAAACCAGTAAAACAAGTTGTATTGTGTTGTTTGCAGTGGTAGTGGCAGTAGTAGTTGCAGTAGTAGGAGCTTTTATAGATAGTTGTGTCTGTTGTCTTTTACAACACAATCGTGAAAAGCGTGTAATGAAGAGAAAATGAAAGATCCAGAGAGACGATCCAGAGTGTGTGTGTGTGTGTGTATGATGCTTACTAGAGTTTACGAATTTTCGGACAACGTACTTCTGGATTGGCGCGAGCTAATTCAAGACGACCATTCGCTTGATAATCATAAGCACATTCATGTTGATCAGCATATCGATGCAATGAACAGAATAGGCCATCACAACGACAAACGAAACCTAGTAAGTATGTAAGTAAGTAGATCAAGTCAAAATAAGTAAGTAGGTAGGTAGGTAGGTAGGTCGTGATAACTGTTGACTTGTTATAATATAAAATGAACCAGTAAAAAATGTGTCTGGTACACCTTTGCATTATTAGACAAAGAGATAATAAATTAAATGTCACCAGGAAAGCTTAGATGTTTTGTCTCGTTGAAAAAAAAATCCGTCTCTAATCCATTCTTGGGACAATAACTAATGTAGTGAAGGAGAACACAGGTGAGGGCAACCGGATTGTATTTAACAAAAAATTACAGGGTTACTCAGTAAAATAGGAAAACCATATCGTAAACGGTGAAATTTGCAAATCTTCAATCCATTGTCTGACATTTCACTATTCATGCGTTTCATACAAATTCCAGTGTTTTCCTACTCTTCTGTTTTCTTGATCTTCCCCCATCTTCTGCTGACAGACATTACGTTTACACTCACGTCATATACTACTTATAAGTAGCGCGCACCACACTATGTCATTATTATAAACCCTGTAATTAATTACATAGTAGCACTACTAATCATGCCTTCATGCGCGTACTAACAATTAAACCATACCTGTTTGTTGTTATTCTGTTTGGGTCAAAACATTCCAATGTGCTAGCTAACCCGATTAATTTTAATAAGCTGGATAACTGATCGCAAGTCAACTGGAAGATGCTTTGGCTGAAAATAATGAATGCTAACCTAGGTAAGAAAGAGGAAGTAACCGTTAGGTTTATTGTGGTGTTTCTCACAAATAATTGGTATTTTTACAGTGTGGTATCGGCACACACAGAGACGAGGAGGAGAGGTTAAACACATTGACTTTATCATATACTATACAAGAAAAACTGTGATCATGCTTTATTTCAGGTTGACAAAACCAACATTAATCTTGTATCTTTTCCCACTCATTCAATAAATAAATGTGTTCCTCTAAGGTTTAGATAACTGGGAAATGGTAATCGACACATATACCTTTCAACTATGTTAACGATCTCTTTTACCTAATACTCTTTGCCTTTCTTCTTAGATCTTTCCTTCTCGTTATCTGCTGACTATAACTGACTAATAATGAGTGCGTAGAAACTTTATATTCATCCTTGAATTAACAAACTGCAAAGTCGGTAACCATCGAGCTAATTCAACGAATAATACTTCAAGGTGAAATCTAGACGGACAACTGAAAGAGCGCTATTTATTCAATTGAACTAAAAAGTTCAAATATCATTTGTCGAGATGACCACTATTCAGTAGAAAAAAAGAATATATTTCTTTTCGATTAGTGTATAATCATCATGGCTCTGTGTACTGATATATGTGTATATTAATTACTTTACAACAATGAGAAAATTCTTTTTTTCAATTAGAGTAATGGAGATTATTGTTTTTACACACATTTGAAATCATCAATCAATCATTGTTAGACCACCAGTAGAATAAACCTGGAAGCACTGGACGATGGCCGTTTCGGCCTGGTATGGGACCCAATCGAGTGTAGACAGTAAGTTGCGCAAAATCCCTAGATCAGTAGACCCAGAGGGGCTCTAGGTGGGTCATCTTAATCGGGATAAATCTGGGCTTCCAGGTTTCTAATGGTGGTCTAACAATGATTGATTGATGATTTCAAATGTGTAAAAACGCAAACCTCCAAAACTCTGCCCCAAAATATCGTAACAGTGCTCACTAGTGACTAGCTTCGTGAGGAAATTCTCTGAGTTCTAGTTGAGAAGATGTGACCAATGGAGTTCAACCCTGTCGGGTGTAGGCAGTAACTACCAAAGACCAACGGGTGAGGTTGCGCAAAATCCGTAGATCAGTCAGAGTTAGACATTAACACCATTGGATGCGGGCCCAGTGGTCCGATGGTTAGTCGTTCGCGTGCAAGACCGAAGGTTCGAATACTGCGAGGTGCAGGAGTCGTGGATGCGCACTGCTGATGAATCCCATATTAGAGGATGAAATGGCCGTCCAGTGCTTCCAGGTTTATTCTAACGGTGGTCTAAAAATGATTGATGGATGATTTCAAGCGTGGAAAAATACCTATCGAGTAGTTGAGTACCGTGAAAATTACTTACATAATAATGGTCACGGTAATCATCAGAACAAGATATTGAATAATTTTTGAAGAATTTCGGAGGAATTCGCTTTTACTTTTATTATAATATACAAAAACTCTTGCCAAGTATGTTTAAAAAATGGATTATGATTAACGCAATCACAACTTACGATAGAAATATTTATATTACCCCTTAAGATCATTTTGTCACACCTCCCCTAACTCACGGATTTCCGTATCCGGCGGTAAGGGTGCCCACTAAGAGCCTTTAAGAACGGAGCTAATCCTCAAAATACCTTTCATAAAAAGGCTGTGCGTGACCGGACTCAAGCAGTTGTCCCTTGGACTCTGCGGTCACGCTCCCAAGTCTCCAAGACCAACACTAATCTATCTTCCTTTTCAGGTCCCTCAAGAAACAACCTTCCACGGTGTGGGCATCCGGGAAGTGACAACCGCCCTCATACCCGTAACAGCACACGAGAGACCAAATTGGTCGAAATCAAATCCTTCCTACACCCACACATACCTCTCGTCTCTCCACAACTAACTCTACTCACATTCCCTTATCTGACTGCACCGCTAATACAAACGATGCGAGTTCACGAAACGTCATTCCTGGTCTCTTGAAACCTCGTTCTAGTCTACATGTTGGAGCATTTAATGTACAGACATCGTGTCAAATAGGGCAACAGGCATCATTATTAGCTAAGACTTTAGAATCTCGTGCCATCGATGTATGATGCTGAGTCTCGGAAACGCGCATTTCCTATCTGAGATAAAAATTTCTCAGGAAAATACATGAGTATAATATTGATTAGTCAATAGGAGGTATTTCAAAAACTAATGATAATAAACAGGCAGTTTTAATATTTACACAACACATCTAACAATGGAAAACACAACGCTAGTGTAGCCAACCTGTCAATCCAACACGTTTGTGACACCAAGTGCAACGATTGATACGTAGAATGGGACGGGAAGTTGAAGGGTTGGCTGAAATGAATACAGAAAAGTCACACACACACATACACATACACACATCATAATTGAGTGAATAAATTTAGCCAAATATTTAGTTAATAATAATACACGTAATACAACAATCTTTATATGGGGTAGCAAATGACTACTGTCCAGTGTGAGAAAAATAACTTTTGAGAAATAATTACACACAACCTATTGACCGATTAGGGACTAGTGTATTCAGTTTTGGGTTACAACGTTAACTGAGAGCTGGAGATAACACTACAGTCAGTCAGTCAGTCAGATGCAACGTAGAACTTCGTACGTAGTAAGTACATCAGTTCATGTTGCCACACCACATTAGCACAGAGTCGCAATTGTCAATTTAAATCAGATAGTAGTAGAGGTAGTAGCAAAGGTGTTATAGAAGTAATCGGAGAGGTTAGGATTAGAAGATATTATTATTCAAGAAGTATGATACAGTGAGAAAAGTTTACAAAGACAAAACTAGAGGGGTTGAAGAATCTAGAAGATTAGGATTTGAGAGAACACAAAGAATAAATGCACTGGCGCCATGGCAACCGATTTTGAGCAAAACCATTGGTGACTTTCATCTCGCGGACCTTAACCAGGTAGTCGACACCTACCGACATGGCTAAGTCCACTTGTAAATGACTTCATGGATTTCTGCCATGTTTTCGTTCGGCCGCTCGAAGAGGCAGTCGGTGGCTAGGCATACAGCACATGTCCCACATACTTCAACTGATGAAGTTTCATTACTTCATCTATTGATCTGCCATTCTTACCTAGCACCCGTTTCCTAATAACAGCGTTGCTCACTCGGGTGTCCCATGATATACGAGTAATGCTTCGAAGACACCTATGATCGAAAACCAATAACCGACGAATATCTTCTACTCTCACTGGCCATGTTTTACAGCCATAAAGTAAGACGGAGCAAACTACTGCACAGTGCACTCGTCCTTTAGTCAGCAAACGGATATCTCGCCTACGCCATAAAAGTAACAAACGAATGGATCAGTTGAATCCGTGACATACTTTGAATACTTTTTCTTACCTTTGGAAGTTTCTTCTTCAGAAATCGAGGGATCTGCCTTTCGTTTAAGTGCATGAGATAAATGAGACGATGTAGTAGGAGGATCATCATCTGACGGAGGTGAAGTAGAATCTTTGGAAGAGTGTTCACAACAATCTAAAAGTTGTGATTTACGATTATCTGATAAATCAATTGAAGCGGAATGAACACGTGCAGCTTGTTCCAAGGTAGAAGAATCACATTTAATGTATTCTTGATAACATTTGGAACACATATCTTTAAATCGAACACTTCCATAAAAGCCACAACCACGTTTACACATATTTTTGTTTTCAGGTTTATTTTTCAATTCAGATGTTTCGTTATTCTGTAAGCATAAATTATAAACAAAAAAGATGGTTACCATAGATCTTGAAATAATGAATGTTTAAACCACAAAAGCTAAAAAAATCTTTTATGCATGGATCAAACAGAATGCTTGCTGTTCAACAAGAATTAACATGAGAAAAATACTTTGAAACCATGAATCGACGATCAATGTGAGTGAGACCACCATTCAGAAACCTGAAAGCACTGAAAGACGGCCGTTTCGTCCTGGTATGCGACTCATCAATGGCAGTGCGCATCCACAACTCCTGCACAACAACACAGGATTCGAACCCAGGACCTCCGATGGTCTGGCATTGATCGATTCATGGCTTCAAAATATGTGTAACTTAACAATCTTCACAACCCAGTAATGAAAAAATACTTTGGTTATTTTGACGTCAATACTGGAATAACGACACTACAAGCTGTTCTTCAGAAGTAAGAGAATCATTTATAAACGTAGTCCCAACTGACAATTAATTTATCGCTCCTACAATTGATATGCGGGTGTTTACTCAATCACCAATGATTTGATAATTCGGTCATAATTTAGGGTAAATGTTCTTCTTCTTAGTGTGACCAACTCTGAACCATGTCACGCAAAATCGCTAACAGACGGTCTCAACAACGATACCAAATAGGAATTTTTCACCGAACAACAACATGGGTCCTATCTACAGTTACTGACTTGTTGGACTAATGCTTCTTTTTAGCTTTCTTTCAACCAATTCCTATATCACCCAACATTGTACATAGTGTAGATGATTGAGAATACGTTATACATGTACTAGATGTTAGTCGCTGCAAATTCATTCTAATATTCAGTCAGTCAGTAATAACGTAGAACTTCGTAAGTAAGTACATCAGTTCATGTTGCCATACCACATTAGCACAGAGACACAACTATCAATTCGAATCCCATAGAGGTAGAGATAGTAGAAGAATTACTTCTAATGGAGAGGATTAGCATTTTAAGGTAATATTCAAGAAGTATAATCCAGTGAGATAAAGTTAGAAAGAGAAAGATACAGAAGATGAGGAATTCAGGTTAGAATCTGAGAGAACATAAAGGGTGGATGCACCTGTGCCATTGCAAACGATTTCGAGCCAGCCATGTCGTTCAAGGTCTCTAACCATTGGTGACTTACGTCAAGCGGACCCTAACCAGGAAGTCTACATCTACCAACATGATTCAGTCCACTTGTCAGTGACTTTATGGATTTGTGCCGTTTCGGTCTGGCCGCCCCTAACTTTCTTCCAACCTACTCCTACACTACGCCGAGGCAGTCGGTGGTTGAGTATTCGTAACACATGTCCCAACCACCTCAACTGATGAAGTTCCAACACTTCATTAATTGATCTGCCATTCTTACTTAGTACTCACTTCCTAATGGCAGCATTGCATACTCAAGTGTCCCACAATACATGAGCAATGCTTCTAAGACATTTGACATCGAATAATAGTAACCTACGAATATATTCTACTCTTAGCGGCCATGTTTCGCATCCATATAGGAGAACGGAGCGAACTGCTACATAGTATACTCATTCTTTGGTTAGCAAAACGGATATCTCGCCTACGCCATAAATGACGCAAGTTGGCAAAAGCCAATCGAGTTATCTGTATCTGTGCTAGGATTTCATCAGACACCAGGCTATAAGCGCTGATGAAACTCCCAAGATCAGTGAAGCGGTCGACACGCTCGACTACTTCACTTCCTGTCACTAGTTTAAGTACCAATACAACCCAATCTTGAAGCAACATTTTTCATTCTGAGGGTGAGAACCGCATCCCGAACATGCTTGCATTGTTGCTTATGGTAGTCAGAAGACTGCATTTTGTCAGCATCTTCACCAAATAGAACTATGTCATCGGCATATTCTAGGTCAATATACGATCCTCCCGACAGGTCCATCCCTTAAAAATCTGACGATGGTAATGTTAACTCTAAAAGCATGTCTACGACAAAGTTAAACAAGAAAGGAGAGAGTGGACAGCCCTGACGGACACCACTTGATGTAGAGGATTCAGATGACAGTTCGCCATAAGCTCTCACTCAACCAGTGGTGTTCGAGTAGAGAGCTTGTATAAGGTTAATGTACTTCTATGGCAAACCTTTCAATGACAGACACTGCCACAGTACCTCACGATCAACAGAGTCAAATACCGCCTTAAGGTCCAGGAAGACAACTATTATAGTACGCCGAAATCTGTGTGTTCCAGGACCTGTCACAGAGTGAAAATGTGGTTTATACAGCCACGTCCAGGTCGAAAACCAGATTGGTTTACTCTAGTCTGCTCTTCACGAGCTTTCGTTAAGCGTCGAATTATTACTGAGGCCAACATTTTAGATACTATATTAGTTAGAGTGATTCCCCTGTGATTGTCACAAGAAGACTTTTGTCTTTTCTTATAGATTGGGATAATCAGGGATTGCGACCACTCGAATGGGATTACGTTCAGTCCCCAGATTCTACCTTAGATCTCAGTCAATCTAGCTGCCGAAACTGGACCATCATCCTTAAAAATATCAGAAGTTAGCCCATCAGGATCTGCTGCTCTACCTCCTATTAGATTTCCTATAACTTTCTCAACTTCACAAAGACTAAGAGAATATATGTCAGTTTCCCTTTCAGGATGACTGGAGATCGTGGGTAACCCAAGTGTGGCTAAAGGCCAGTTGAACTGATCCCTAAAGTGTTCTGCCCATCGTCGATCCAATCTCTAATATTATCACTATTTGAACCTTTTTGGCTTTCATATTAAGAGTATGTTGTGCAAACATATTTTTCATTTTGTAAAACAAGATTGATGAACATAATGGAATTTTAATTTTGGGTGCTTTAGGTCATCTACATGAGGTTTAGACATGAAAGTAGGACGGTTAATTAATAGGTATAAGGAATGAATTAATTCTAACCACTTTGGTCTGGCTTGCGTGTTTCTTACGAGTATCTGGGAACGTGTACTGATTTTTACAACCAAAATGTAATTTAGTGTAACTAGCTAGAAAAAAATTCAAGTAGATCGTAAGAAGGCAATAGTTATAAAGACTTTCTGCATTCATTAGGTTCAATATACCGACCGATCGAAGAATTGAACGAGGGCGGATTTCATGTAGTTAGTTACAAATAAATTGGAGATTTGATTCGACAAGTATAATACAAAGAAATAAATGTGGAAAAAAGTAAAAGGCTCATGAGGAGTTCAGAAGATTAACACTGAGAATAGGCGCATCTGAGCCATTGCAAACGATTATAAGCCAGTCATGTTATTCAAAGTCTATAAACATCAGTTAGTATTGTTTAGCAGACCCCAACCAGGTAGAGGTCCGTGATGCAAACGTTTTGAGCTTACGAAACGTTATTCCTGGTATCTTGAAACCCCGGTTCAAACTACATATTTTTAATGTTCGAACCGTGTCAAATAAGGCAATAGGCTTCCTTAGCTAAGACTCTGGAAACAGCTGTCATCGATGTGTGCTGCGTCTCCGAAACGCGCATATAAGATCGGAGTAAAATCATCAATTTGATTTCACCTTGTGCAGATAGAGAATCAACTTGGTTTATGCTTTGTATATCTGGTAGCCCTGCTGGTGTAGGTATAAAATTAAGTCCTAGAGCAGGACTAGCTCTCTTAAGCTACGATCCCAGTAGGTACTGGCTTGTACGCTGTCCGACTACACGGGACAGTAAGGACTCGGAAAGATAAGGAAACACGTCGTTGCCACTTCGACGTATCTGCCTACGCTCCCACTGACTGAAGTTCAGACAAGCTGAAAGATTAGTTTCACAGAAAGCTCTCAGAACTCCTACAAAACTATAGGTGCTCTGATATAGTAATAGTAGCTGATGACTTCAAAACCCAAGTAGATAGACTAAGTAAAAAAAAGAAAGATTACTGGGTGGATATAAAGTTTCAAGGGTGACCGAACACATAATGGCGATCGTCTGTTGCAGCTATGCTCAGATAACCGCCTGTTGCCAGGAGACACTAACTTTAAGCATAAGTAAAAGCATCTTTTAACATGGTGACACCCAAAGATCGACCCAAACAGAAAAAATTGCTATCAGCCACCAAGGGATGGGTTCGACAGAAGACTGCCGCATGTTTTGTGGCACATGTATAGATTCAGATCATGCTCTGATGCGAGCGCGGATTTATTGGCGGCTTAGTGGACGTATATTATCAGTGTCTTCACCAAGTAGAACTATTTCATCGGCATATTCCAAGTCAACAAGCGATACTACTGGTAGAAAGTCTACCCCTGAAAAGTCAGACGAAGATAATGTTATCTCTAAAAGCATGTCGACAACAAAATTAAGCAAGAATGGAGAAAGCGAAAATCCCTGACGGACACAACTTGAAGTAGAGAATTCCGATGACGGTTCGTCATAAGCTCTCACTCGACCAGTGGTGTTCGAGTAGAGGGCCTGTATAAGGTTAATGTACTTCTTTGGTACACCTTTTAATGACAGACACAGTCACAGAGCCTCACGATCAATAGAGTCGGATGCCGCTTTAAGGTCGAGAAATACTACTATTTTGGGGTATCTGAACGTGTGTCTTTGTTCTAGGACCTGACGTAGTGTGAAAATGTGGTCTATACAGCCACGTCCAGGTCTGAGACCAGTCTGGTTTTCTCGAGTTTGCACTAAACGAGCTCTAGCTAGGCGTCTAATTTTAATCGAGGTTAACGATTTAGAAACTACATTAGTTACACTTATTCTCCTGTGATTGTCACAAGAGGACTTTTGTCGTTTATTATAGATTGGGATAATCAGGGATTGCGACCACTCGAATGGGATTACGTTCAGTTCTCAGATTCCACCTAAGATATTAGTCAGTCTAACTGTTAAAACTGGACCACCATCTTTAAAAAGATCAGCGGTTAATCTATCAGGTCCTGCTGCTCTCCCTCGCTTGAGATTTCCTATAGCTTTTCCAACTTTATAAGGATTTGGAGGGCTTACGTCGACTTGCCATTCAGAATGATTAGAGATCGTGGGTAACCGAAGTGTGGCTGATGGCCAGTTGAACTGCTCCCCAGAGTGTCCTGCCCATAGATACAATCTCCTGGATTGAGGATGAAAAATAGTCCCATCATTTCCCGAGATAGTTTCGCTAACAGATGAATTCCTAGTATCAGTTTCCTCGATAAGGCAGAACAGTTGTCTAATGTTACCTATCATCACTGGCTTTTCTATCGCTCTTGCTTTCACTACCTACCATTGTTCGCGATCATTGTGT